TTAGAAGATCAAACGTAGCCATAACTGCAACTACTTTAGTTCCTATGATGTACAATATTCAATGTATTTGGACTAATATTGCAGTTTCATATGAACAGGTTAATGAACGGCGATTTAATTCAACCTTATAAGTAAAACTGATACTATGTGATGAAAATGATTTATATAAGCTATGAAATGTATATGCACTCATATTTAAAGGAATTGCATATTTTTGTGTCGTTTTATAGACTAAACAATGATGTATATTGATTGGTCAGGTGCGCGTTTGTCGGAAACGTGTTATGATTCACTATCATTGTTTTCGATAATATACTAGGCACATAAAGAAACTGTGCATACAAAAAAATTAAATCTAACTTAATCAAACCTGTGTAGACACATAAGGATTTAAACTCAGAGATTAGTGACATGTATTCAACATGCATGCACGTGCCACGTTCCGTGACGTCAGTGGGTTCGTCCTTGAGACGTGCAGTACGTTGTTGCATGTGCATTCCGGGAAAGAGAAACAGAGCAAATGAATGCCACACAATACTGTCACTGTGACAGAACACAAATGACGTCATCGATCGGCCACGTTCTGGACGTCCACGTGTAACAACGCCAAGACAGGACATATGGATAAGGGTGACCCATCTTCGCCACAGGTTTCAGACTGCAGTGATGACTGCCCGAACCATCCCAGGACTTCGCCGTATCCAACCCAACACAGTTCGACAACGTTTACGTCATCACGGGATCAGACCACGACGTCACGCCATACGGCCTATCCTGACACAACGTCATCGACAAGCTCGCCGAATGTGGTGCCGAAATCATGTCCGAAGACCCTTGTTTTGGAGGAGAAATGTTGTTTTTTACAGATGAGTCCAGGTTTAACATTTCCCATAGTGATGGACGTCAACGTGCCTATAGACGCGTGGGAGAACGTTATGCACAGGCCTGTGTCTTGGAGAGGAATCGCTTTGGTGGTGGTTCCGTGATGATTTGGGGTGGAATAACAGCACGCCAAAGAACTCCTTTGGTGATTGTTCAGGGCAACGTAACTGGTGTGGGCTACAGGGATCTTCGACCTGTGGCAATTCCTTTTCTGCAACGTCATGGCCCTGGGATAACATTCCAACAGGACAATGCCCGCCCTCATACGGCAAGGCTTGCTATGGATTTCTTGCAACACCACAACGTTGACTTGATGCCTTGGCCTGCAAATTCACCGGATCGCTCCCCGATAGAGCATGTTTGGGACAAGATGGATCGACGTCTACGCCGTCTTCCTCATCCGCCAGATAACGTCATTGACCTTGCAACAGAACTTGAGAGAATCTGGCGTGACATCCCACAAGCCTTCCTTGCACGTTTGGTAGGCTCTATGCGTCGTCAATGCACTGCTGTTCTCAATGCCGATGGTGGACATACCCGTTATTGAGCTTGTGACATGGTCGTTTGATCCCTGTCCCGCTTGTGGACTCGTGACGTCATTGTGATTGACTTTTCAATTGAAATTCTCCCGACTTGTTATGGTCTCATGATCACTCCATTAACGTTTATATGTACCTTTGACATTGTTATCGTACTTATCAACTGGGATGATATTTTGACAATGCACAGTTTCTTTATGTGGCTAGTATATAAACAATTCATATCCAATTAAAACATATTGTGATGACAGGATATCAAACTCTAACTACATTTATACGAAAATTGTTTAAAAATATATAAACCATGTAATACTTAATTTGGACAAATCTTACATCCACATTCTAGCTACATATAATCATAAACAAAGAAAATTCTTATCCTAAACAAAATATTCGGGTGTTGTGAAATATTATTTTTCATTTACGTTAAATTGATGCCAAACAGGTGCGCGTGTTGCTCACAAAAAGATACACAGTCAAATCGTTTAATTGTTGATGTGTTCAGGACACTATTTAAATGGAAAAATCAGTCATTTGATGTTTTGTCTAAAGAGTGTTAAATTCTGACATAGAAGCTGAGACCTTTTATACAATTAATGGAAATTAGGTGAGATATATACTAATCAGCCAACCGATGTCGTCTTTTTCCGACGTCGCAAAATGCATAAAACAATTCACGACGTCAACTAAAATGTTATATTATTTTCCGCAATTTCATTACATTTTAAGATATGGCTAGTACTCTGGTAATAACGATGCAAAATTAGTCAAAATACATCTACACAAACAGGAGAATATGGGAAACTAAGAACTAACTAATATATCGGATAGGGCCATCCAAATCGCTATTACGTGCTTTCACATGTAGTACGTTGTCATCTTTTCTTATAAATTGTGAAACTACCAAAGCTATCCGCTCACATTGGGGAACTTTGAACTGGAATAGTTTGGTTCACCGTTAACAAAAAATAACGAAAATATAGCGTCCGTATCCACAACAAACTCTCTCCATGTGATCTAAGTTACATTGACCTAGTGTTAAGCATAACGGAGTTATGCCCCCTTATCATATATGCGTATGACCTCTCTGTCGTCGTTTGACGTCATAGAAGAAAATCCATTTTTGACATTTATTGCGAGTAATGTTTAATGTTGAGCGTGCACAAACATATAAACCAAATTCATATACACTTATGTGTATATATCAGGCTGTATTTTCTTCACTCACACTTTCCGTAAAGATGCCAAATTAAAAAAATCGTAGCACAGTGCTTTTATCGGTGCACGATAAAAAGCGGAGACATTTACTGCTTTTTAACGCATAACAAAAATTTGGACAACATTTAGCAAGGCCTATTTCTCAAACCGCCGAGGTAGTTGCACTTATATTTATACCAACGGATAGGAAATTTAATATTCTACATTTCTGTATAAATTTATAACCGTACGTAGATCCAGGACCACGCGAGCGCAATTCTCGCACAACGTTCACTTTTCAAACCGTCTGAAAATGTGCGCCTGAAAAAAACTCGGCATCCAGGGGGTTAAGCGGCCTACACACGGCAAACTAAAGTTTGGCAACACAATCATGTTGTCAAACTTGAGTTTGAGAGTGTGAACATTCCAACAACTCGCCATCAACACCAATTTCAGAGTTGTCAAACTGTTCTCAAGAAATAGATCGGTCTCTATTGTCACCAACTTTTCCATCAAACTTTCGGTGTTGTCAAACTTGAGTTTGACGTGTGAAGTGTTGTCAAACTCGTGTTGTTCAGAAACAAGCAATCGCAGTCAACGAAATTGTCACGTGACCGCACCGATAGAGACATGACGCTCAAATAACAGGAAAATTTCACAACATGCGTTTGACGTGTGAAAACGCGAGTTTGACAACAAGTGTTGTCAAACTTTGGTTTGCCGTGTGAAGGCCGCTTTAGACAAGAATTACAAAGACTTAACTGGGTGAAAAAGCGCAGAATTCCCTCACCATTGATAAAAGATACACAAAAAGAAAGACGTTTAAACTGGTGTAGGGCTCACGAAAATCAAGATTGAGATAATGTTCTGTCTGGCTTTTTCCGAGCTGTGTGAAAATTTGGACAAAAGATACCGTGATACCTATCTACCAACGCCCAAAAAAACATAGCCCGAAATTTCACATGTGGGGTGGGATATCATTACGTGGAGTGACTCAATTGTGTATTTTCACTGGAAATTTGACGATATATTGACATCTTAAATGATCACGACCTTCCAACGGCCCGAACACTGTATGAAGATAATTGGATTTTCCAGCAAGATAACAACCCAAAACATACTGCGGGCTACGCAAAATAGTGGTTGTCGGACGAAAATGTTCAAGTTTTAGACTGGCCCGGCTACAGCCCGTTAACCCTATTGAGAATGTGTGGGGACTAATGTTCAAAGAACAGAATAAACCAAACAGGACTTAGAAATATCAGGGATAATCTACAGCAATCGTCTTCTATTATCCCTGGAAATATTGAGGATAAGACTGACTGACTGACTGAGTTTGGTTTTACACCGCTTTTAGCAATATTCCAGCAACATCACGGCGGGGTACACCAGAAATGGGCTTCACACATTGTGCCCATGTGGGGATTCGAACCCGGGTGTTCGGCGTGACGAGCCAACGCTGTAACCACTAGGCTACCCCACCGCCCCCCTTGAGGATAAGAAGAAAGGAGTGGTCGAATATTGGGATACCCTGTGACATAGTGTCACACGATTTCCTACAAACTTTGATCGGTACTGCAGTGTACCTGGGCGCATTCACTGATTCGGCAGTGTACAGCAGGGCAAAGAGGTCTCACAAAATACTAAAAAGACACTTAGACTGTAAGAGAATCATATCTCAACATATTCATTTAAGTAAAACTTCTCCATGTATGATAGATATTTACCGAAACAACTTTTCCAATACTTTCTGGGAATATTATAAATCCAGTGAAATAAGGATTGTGTAAAGGTTTTAAGAAGTTTGAAAAATAATCGTAAGTAACGGAAACATCATTTACGACAAAAACGTGTTGAGACTAACATTAATCCACCTGAGATTCGAAAAAACAATCTGAACATACGGTTATATACCAGCAGAAACAGTAGAAGGGGGTTGTTTTTTGCCCTTAAAATTATGATAAAATATTCATATACTCAGTTACGGGTATAATTTAATCAATTAAAATAACTAACAACTACAATGACACAACGTATTATTAATAACTATTAATGTATGTTATCAATTTACTTATATTATTAATTTACGTGGTAGCAGGGAGAATTGAAGACGTAGTGCTGTAGATTATCCCTGGTGGTAGGTAGGTTTTCTCAAACCACTCACGTCTGAATTTAGTTCGAATGTTACGAAAATAGATACTAATTTACGATATGTATTCAACTCTTATGCAGCGGAAGCTTAATCTCAGCCTCTATACGTTCTACTTTCAATCCCAATAACTATTCTTTGCATTCAGTACAATATAATTATGAAAGGTATATTGTTTCGCCCGATGTTAAGCCGCGCTCTCGCGGAAATGACCGATAATGCCCGAGACGGTCACATGGTATGGCAAGAAAGATGGCATCCAACCTGCCTTGCTTGCTTACAGGGCCAGGTTAAAACTGGCGAGGTCGCTTTTATTTTGTATCTCCAGAGTTCCATGTACACAGAATGTGGAGATTATTCCACGGCATTCCCAGAGGTAAGCATGACACTTTCCGATTGTGTCTGTGTTTAGCGTAATATGAATGTTTTCATTTGGAGAAACAAGGATTCCCCTTGATAAAGAATGATGTTTGTTTTGGCCCGTGCCCTCATTTAGGTACAGCTAGTATGACAATTGAGGTCATAATGTCTCTTTCCTTGCACTTTCGGGTGGTTCCTGTGATCTTCGAGGTTTGATTTTCGGACGGAAAGTTCCTGAATTGATTGATCAGACACTGAGTAAAGTGTGAAGGTCATGTCCCAGTTTGAAGGAAAGTCGGATATAAAATGACGCAACATGACAGCGCAGATCTATAAATAGTAACACTACTTCATTTAGGGAATTCCCATTTTCTTGGCCGCTGTTGATACCACATTTTTACATCCTCATGTTGTTTAATGTTCTTACTTAACGAGAAGATATTTTGTATGTTCTTACTTAATGAGAAGATAGTTTGTATGAGCAACATATGTGTACATTTTAAGGGCAGCAATACTCAACTCTCTGTCATGTTGGCAATTCTTTTCTATTCCCTATAGTCACCGGATGCCTGTATAGTGCTGAATACAAGTCACACCAGTCAATATTATAGCCCATAAAATACAAATTTTGAATTTTCAAAGAAAAATGCAGTCCATATTTCAAGTTTGTCAGTGCTGGAGTGGTGTTGCTCTTTAACATATAAGTTTACAAAATAGAGTGACTGTCATTTTGACTAAGTAAGGCAGTTATATCACCAGGATCTGGTACCAATGTTTCATGTAGAACCATACGCTGATATTAATGTATATAGGGGTGACTGATGAATAATTTTTGTGTTGTTTGGGTAGTCATTGCAGGGCTCCAGATAAAGACCGTATCGGCGTATGTACAGATAGAAAATAAGCACGATACGACAGGAAATAATTTAGGAAACGTAGCAGATACGCACCATAGCAATGGTGTATGGTCTTAGAATAATTTACAGACATATTTATCTGAAAAATTATTGTTTTATTGTATATTAACCTGTTTACACAAGAGTAGCAATGTTGTGGTGCATATATGAAACGAAACACAAGATTACTGATACACCATTAAATTCCATTCAGTACTCTAAATGTACTCTTAAGTTTTTCCAGTACTCATGTATTGAAAAAATAAGGAGTACGTACTCCTGATGTTGAAATCTTATCTGGAGCCCTGCATTGGCACACATGTTGTCCCACATCATAAGAGCATTATTACTGTGGCATACAAAAGCAGCATGGTTTTAATTGCTTTGATCAAACAGTTAAAGAAAGAAGCGTTGCTTGATGTCATTAATTTACTAAATTCAGAAAATTTTAAAGAACACAGTTGACTTATTATACATGTCCTAAATTAAAGAATTGATATGTTATGTTTTTGATATTTGTCCGTAAAATATTTCCATCTGTGACCATTATGACCCTGAAATCTTTGGTAGTCACGAGGATTTTGATCTCCTGGTCTATATATGTTGAAGATAAACACTTCCAAATATGCTCATATCTTTGTAAACATTGAATCAGTCACTGACTTGCTTCTGGCTTCAAAATAGGTTAGTTTTATATATTTTGAGTAAGTATTTGCTCTCATTTATGCCCCTGTGTTCCATGCAGGAAGAAAGATTATTGTTGGTTCTAATAATAGTAACGATGTAACAGCTCACTGTCTCCTGTTCAGTGACAACTCACGCTTCAGGGAGTGTTGCTCTGAGCTGTGTCTAAATTTGATAGACCTTTGGTCCATGACCGGTGGATATGCACATTCAGGAATTGAGAAGTTTGTGAAACTTGTGTATTTCAACAGTATTTAATGTTAATCAATCGAGAAAACAAGTAATTCTGCTTTGGGATTGAAAAATGTTGAAATTTTGATCTGACCTATGTTTGAGTAATATTCAAATATGTGTAACAAAAATGATCAACCTGTATATTTGCATTAAAATTTCGTATTAATTCAATATTTCAGCAATCCGACAGCATTTCCATGGTCCACGAGCAGCAACAGGTATATGTAAGGAAGAAGAGCAGTTTGTGGAACATGAAGTTGATCGTGTAGACAGCTGCTCCTGGTTTGAGCGCAGCCGGCGATGTGTCAGTAGGTGAGTAACATCTCAAATACTTTATGCTAACTGCAGGGCTTGTCTTGGATTAGAAACCAAGCCCCTTTTGCAAAATTGGGAATTTTGTCTGTAGCTAATTTCTTGAATAAGGGACTGTTCATAATTTATGGCAAGGGTGTGGTGATTTTTATGGAAAAGCATGTACAATGAGAATGAACCCCCTAAGATTTATGTATAAAGTAAATGTCATGTAAAAAAACCAATGACACCCCCTACCCTTCCCTTAATTTTAAGCATAATATTAAAATATTTTCATGCACACACCCCTAGTGCATGTGTACAAAATTGATGACCTCCCCAGAACAAAATGGTGGGTGTAACACACACCCACCCCACCCCACAAAAATCACCCTCAACCCCCCTAGCCTTAAATTGTGAATACTGAATGAAAGTGCTCTGGTGGATGAAGATTCTGTTCCCATTCATGGTTCATTAATGTTACCAATCATTAGATTTTTCAACTAAACAAGAACTTTGACTTACCATCGTGTCCTTAAGCTTGTTTCTACATTTATCTCAAATTAAATAAAGAAAAATATTTTTAACATTTTTAATGAAACACTGTTATATAAAATAACAGTAATATGCTACTGTTTTTGAGGCTTAATTAAACTTTGAAACAAATTATGCCAGATTCTTGATATTGGATCCGTACTTGGATCCCTGGATTAAATAATATTTCTAATATTGCTCATCATTTGTTCACTTTTAAATCTGTATGTCAAATTTTAGGTTTTGCAACATATATCAGTCATTTAGAGCAATGTATTGCTTTCAGAATTTGAAGTCAATGTCTTTCATTTCAGCCCGCCTGAGAGTAATGGGGACAAAGGTGAAGGTCAGGGCTCAGAACGTGATGATGACTGGTGGAAAAATATCCACCGTGATTGGTTTCCTTTCTGTGGGCGACACACTGCACTTGAGGCTGTCACATGGGTGAGTACAAGAATTGGTACATAGTTAGACAGTTACCTTTTCATTTATCGAAAAAGAATAACTGAGTACAGATTCTCGTTTTCATCAGCGTAGTGTAGTCTAGTCGTTTGGGTTAAATATTATGATTTTTAGCTTGTTTCAAAAGTTTTTTACTTTGTGTTTATGAATTGTTTTTTACAGAAATGTCACAGAAAATGTTGTTTTGTGTAGGGTGCAGCTGTCGTGCTTGGCATCCAGTTATCCCGTCCTCGATGGAGTGATGGGTGTATTCGCAGCCCCCCGTCCAGTAAAGACCTCCCACCACGGAGGCCGAGTCTGCTGTTCCAGGTGGCGTTTGCCCTCCCCGGGAAGACTACAACTGCACAGTCTGTAAAGCAGACTAGAGCCAGGCAGCGAGACACTACAGAACAGGTGAGGGGTGATGATATAGAATCTAATATAGGTGACATTATATCTAATATAATGTCCGCATGCTTTCTGGTATTATGGCCATGTTTAGTGTTGCATTTCAAACTGTTTCCTTTCACGAAAGTTCTTCTATAATGACATCTGAATAAAATATCATTATTGATATTCAAACTGGTATTTACAAAATATTTGTTCTAAAAGCAAAATAAACTTTTTTGTAGTGACATCCAAATAGAAGATCATTATTGATATTTAAAATAATATTTGCATAATATTTGTCCAAACAACACATATAAATATGCTCATGTGAAATTGAAATTGTGATGTGAAATTTTGATCCTACGGGTCTATATCTTCAAGTTTTACCTCGGCATCGTTAACAAGGGAGACATAAGCACAGTAAACAGCAGTGCCCCTGTTTGATTTAGTCTTTCTAGTTTTACCTCAACTCCTTTAAAAAGGAAGACATAAACACAGTAAACAGCAGTGCCCCTGTTTGATTTAGTCTTTCTAGTTTTACCTCAACTCCTTTAAAAAGGAAGACATAAACACAGTAAACAGCAGTGCCCCTGTTTGATTTAGTCTTTCTAGTTTTACCTCAGCTCCTTTAAAAAGGAAGACATAAACAAAGTTATCAGCAGTGCCCCTGTTTGTTGTAGCCTGTGAAGGAGGACGCGGGACTGAGTGATGTATTGAAGGACTTTGAGGACATCTGTAAGAAGTACACTGCCCTGGGGAAGAGTGTGCTTGGGTTGAGGTTTGCCCAGGAGGGAGACATGTCGGAGGCCATGAAACACATGGAGGAGTCGAGCCGTCTCGGTCACCCCAGTGCTCAGTTCAATCTTGGACTCTGCTTTGAAATGGGAAAAGGTGTGGATGTTGATCTGAAAAAGGTGAGAAAAGCAGGTGCAGGTGCTTGATTACCCATCAATGCTTGACTACCTACCAGGACTATTTACACCTGGATTCACTCCTTGCTTCTATATGTCCATTGCCAATCAGCACCAAATTACTACTGACTTCCCTTGTAAGCACTCACCACTGCCATCTTATCACTGTTGTGGTTTCACATGTACTTATATAGCTATCGGCTTCCTAGTTTAGTTCACCTGATGAAGGGGTAAGAATATACTCAAGAACAATGTGTCCCCATATCATGGAAGTTCATGTCCACAGAATTTCACCCCTTTATACCCACTGGTGTTAAGACATTAGCTCAGTCAATGAAACATATGGTCTAGACATGATTATTTCAGAGCTACAGATAACTTTTGGGGTCATTGAGTTATGTACTCGCTTGTGCTCATCCCAATTGGGTATCTTAATTTTTCTTTGAGTAACTGAATAAATTGTACTCACTTCACTCAAACTCAATTGGGTATTTTGCTATTTCCATTAACTTTAAAAATACTATAAAGGTTAAATGTTAGTGTTTGTTATTTATATTTGATCTGTAATATGAGAAACGATAAGAAAGACTACAAGTTGCCAAGTTCATGTTCTGAAATAGAACCTCTCAATATACCCCAGTTATTTTATTTATCCACCGGTACCCAAGCTAAGATTTGACATTTTTGTGTGTACGCATGTAAGATCACATTTATTGAGTATTTACAAAAATTCAGGCGTACTTGTACGCAAGAGTCTTAATAGGAATTGAGTTTTCACATAAATATTTGCGTAATTTACGCAGATACGCAGCTTAACTGTACCTCTGTTATTTACAGGCCTCAATCATACAGCTGAAATATTGCTGAGGTTGGCATTAAAACGAAACAACACAAATAGAAGAGAAGGGGTAATTAGGGGTGAAAAGAGTTATCCCCCCTTGAGCAATTCATCACTCAAGTTCTCAGTGTTTGGTGCTTTCCTTAGCATTAGCAGATGATCAAATGTTTTCACTCCTGGTAACCAATTGGGTAATAAATACTGTTCCGGATCGTGAATGCAGCTGGATTGTGTTTCCAGGCTGCAGAGTACTACAAGATGGCTGGAGAGGGCGGCCATGCCAAGGCCCTGTATAACCTGGCACTGCTGCATCTGAAGGGTGAGGGAGGGGTGAAGAAGGACACACCCACAGCCATGTTGCTGCTGGAACAGGCTGCCCAGTCAGGACTGACAGAGGTAAGAGACAGTGGCTAGATGAGGTTCACAGAGATAAGAGATAGTGGTCAGTCAGGACACACAGAGGTTGGCGATAGTGACAGTTGGGACTGACGGAGGTGAGAGACAGTGACCTGTTGAGATTCACAGAAATAGGAAATAGTGGCCAGTGATGATTTGTAGGATACATGCTTTTGGTTGAAAACATTCTTAGTTGACAGGACTTCCCTGTTGGAGCTGAAACTTACCAAGCCTGTTTCCACTAGTGATGAGGTGCCAGTTATTCAGCTTGATATTTAGTTGTCAATATGGCTGCTGTTATTACCGATTCACTTTTCTCTTGAATTTTATTATTTAATTCCTCTTCTCCACAGGCCCAGACATACATGGGTGTTTACTACACAGAGGAGGAACAACAAGATATGAAAAAAGCAGTGAAATTCTTCACCCAGGCCGCAGAACAACACGTGAGTACTGTTAAGATGTTTATTTATTACCTACGAGGGCGAACATATTAAGTTAATATTTTTCATACGATGCCCTAGGGCAAAATATCACTTTGTCATGGTGGCGTGACATCATGAACAATGCTATGACGTCACGTTTCATCTGTGACGTTGCGTTCTACATGCAGTGACGGCGGGTATCCACCCTATGTTTGAAAGTAGATTTGGGTTATTTTCCACAATTTTTACGACTTCGGTAATAAACAGAATATTATTTTCGTGCCCATATCATACTATGTTTGCGACGCTCGTGCCTAAATATAGGTATATCCTTCGCTCTCGCTCAGGAAATACCAATATATAGGCACTCGTGTCGTAAACATAGTATGACATGGACAATCATATAATATCCTCTATGTATTACAAATGGCCTGGTATTTATGAGTGGCGAGTATAGTTTTATGCCACTTTTAGCAATATTCCAGCAATATCCAATCGGACTTGGGTTGATGGTTTAATTAAAGATACAGAGATATTTTAGAACAGTTACATGTAATAAAGAGAAAGATGTTATGAAACAACAGGAAATGCTTACCAATTTGTGAAACCTTGTGTCATCAGTGATTTCTGTTATCCACTCATAAAACTTTCATTGCTCATTTACTTTTACTTTTCCAGTAAATTTTGTTTTCCCCGACAAATGAGACTGGATATTATCTGAAATTGAGGTTATATATTTATGATAAATCAGAGGGTAACATGCTTTTTCCAACATTGACCTATTTTTATTTTAAAAATATAATTAACTACTAATAATTTGGACAAATTATCTTTCATTGCACAGGGAATTTAGGCTCAGTAACTTCTCGGTAAACATGTTCTGATTCATGTGGGGCGGTGGGGTAGCCTAGTGGTCAAAGTGTTCGTTCATCACGCCAAAGACCCGGGTTCAGATCCCTGCATGGGTACAATGTGTGAAGCCCATTTCTGGTGTCGCCTGCCGTGATATTGCTGGAATCTTGCTAAAAGTGGCGTAAAACCCAAATCACTCACTCACTTATATAATTCATCTGCTATCATAACTTTGGTATTACAAAAAGAAGCTTTAACATATCTGTATCATGTTTGTCTTAACAGTAGGTACAAACAATCTTGCTGGATCTGATGGGCTAACCAGAAACCTGTGATCACAAGTTTGAATCCTTGTTCAACCCATTTGTGTGACGAATCTAAATGTTAGTGCACACCATTTTGTTCCCAGGATCCTGAAGCCCAGTACTTCCTGGCGATCTGTTATGAGCAGGGTTGGGGAGTGGAGGTGAATGAGTGCAAGGCGGCTCAGCTGTACTCGCTGTCGGCTCAGAGCGGCCACGATGGAGCCATGTACAACCTGGCAGTGTTCCATGAACATGGTCTTGGAGGTGGGTACTGTGTACTGCTGTAATATGTGCTAACTTCATAGGTATTGATTATTATAAGTTACCAAGTAGTATTAAATGTTTGGGAAACTATTGTGCTCAGAATTTGTTTTGTGGTGGTGTTTGAAATTTCTATAATATTTGTTTGGTGTTTTCTTGGTACATTCTTGGAGTAACTTCCCATTACATCAAACAAAAATTTAAACAGTACTGTGTATTTAAAGGAGGGGTTCAATTCAGTTATGATGAAATTTCTAAATCACATTTTGCATTAACAATACAAATGTGTTTTTCAAAGTGCACTAGTACATTGTGATCTATGAATGTTTGAATAGATATTAATTAAAAGATTTGGATCATTGGTTATAGGGATACCCAAGGATCGTATTTCTGCCCTACATCTGTACAAGAAAGCAGCTGGCCAGGGCAACGAGAGCGCCAAGTTCAAATTACAGGAGTGGCAAGCACAAGCTGCTGTGTGGGAGTGGAAAGGTAGGCCAAGATTCCTGGTTTGCCACATTTTTTAGATTTTATAAATGCTTCAGATAGGTGAGGAGAGGTGAAATTAGGTTTAACGTCGTGCTTGAGAATATTTCGCTCATATGACGACGTGCATGCGTGTGTATGTGTATGTGCGGCTGCTTGTACTAGCCCACACTTAAGCTGGTTTTATAGTGCTAGCCCACTGAGATACCATGCTGCAGTGAAACATGAATACCCCACTCAGACACATTATACTGACTCGTGAGCCGACTAGTCCTTGTTGTACCCATTAATGCCGAGCGCCAGGCAGGGACCAACAAGTACCATATTTTAACGTATTTTGGTATGACGCGGTTGGGGATCGAACCTGCGACTTTCCACTCTCCTGCTTCAGATAGAACAGATTTTGAGTTATGTGAAGTAATGCAAGAATTTGTCTGAGCTTTCTCAGAGGTCATTATTTGGAACTGGGTCTATTGCAAATGTTGAATAATTATCAAATTTTTTTGAAATTTTAATCAGCCACTTTCTGTTACTATGATAATATTAACTAATGTTTCAGCATTTGTATCAGTGACCTAGTGTTTATTAATAGCAGTACAATGATGAAAAGAGGGTGGACTTTCAGTCGAAAGTACCTCTAAATTTAGTCTGAATAGGAGTGAATTAGGAGAGAAACATTTGAAGAGACATAGTCAGGACTATCACCCCAGATACACAACTTCAGCATTAACTTCACTTATATGATTTTGAATAACGTGACAGGTTTGATATTTGCCTCGTCATGGAAACCTCAGAAATGCCATTATTTAGAGAACAAATAGAACAGCAACTACTTTTGGGTGTACTGGTCTTTTATGTCGTCACGCCAAAATTTATATAAAAAACCCTGTTAATGTACTGTTTAAATTTTGTTCCCAGCTGAAAATGACGAATTGGAAACAAGAGATGCGAATAACTCCTTGCAACCACCGAAGATTCTTGTAAGTCCGTCCAAGTCGTCGCCATCAGTGATAGAGTATGTTCGACAGAATATCGGTCAGCTGTGTATAGGTGCGGCAAGACCTGCATCAGAACCGTTGTTTCCTCCCCAGCATATCATAGTTACCTCCCCTGAAGGAAGATCTAAGTCGGAGCAGGTGCTGTTCTACCTCCGGCCTGAGGAGCTAAAGGACAACAGCGACGATGACGACAGCGGATACGGCAGCCCCCCTGGTCTCACGCCGAACAGCTCTTCCATCGGACTGCACCGGGAATGCCACAATGCCTGATCTGAAGACATTGGGATGTTCTTGATAACTGTGTAACCATGTTAGTCTGAAGTCCCTTCTTTCCAGACCAGGTACAGTTAGGAACATCTGAATATATATTCTCCTATTTGTTAGTCCCAATGATTACACTGACAATTGTATTGTCAGGATTATTGAGGTTTCACTATGTACAGTGTCACTGTTCACTGTAACAGTCCTGACTGGAGATGCTTCAAGAATTGAACAGATTGAAAGGCATTAGTTTGTCTGAGAAGTATATTTCATTTGCAACTGAGCTATTTGATGCACGATTATTTTGTCAGACTGAAATGGAGCATTAAGGTAATTTTCGAGCATATGAAGTTTGTCTAAAATTTGCATCGTATGAAGGATTTTGCAGTATTGAATTATGTCCCTAACTGTGTCTTACATTTCTGTCTGTGAGTAGATATTTGTATTGAGGTTTTATGTATCAATAGTCAAAGAAGGATATGTGTAAGTTTTTCATTAATGTGTGTGACGAGTGAAACTAGACATTAGATTACGATATATTCTTGTGTGTAGTACACACCCCTCATTCCTGGGTACAGTTATCACAATACACAAATATCCACTGTGCAATGTGAAGCCCCAAAATGACTCATTTTGCCACAAATGATATCTTGGCTGAAATTTGTTAATGTATACAACTGACCACCCTCTCCACACTTGTGTTTTGGGGGAAAAGTAGTACAATCCACACAAGAATATACAGTTCTGGTTTTCATTTTGTGACACCATAACATCACACCTGAGGCTAAAAATAACTTTAACTTCTCCATTGACCCTGGAAAAATGTGAAGAGCGACCTTACCAGGATGTTTTCACTGAAAGTAATTCATTTTGTGTTATGATAATTGAAGGAGAATCAATACAATTTATTTTTTAGCCTTATCAGCTTAACCAGATCAATTTTGTTCATTTCATCTTTCAGTTTCAGTCAATGATGAAACAGTCCAATTTTCATCTTAGAAACTTTATTTTTTAAGTTCAAACAATTGAATTGTCTGGCATGGATTAAACTACATACTTACTTACGTATGCATTTATGAAAACAAGAGTTTAATAATGTCATGTTTCCGGCATTATGGAACAACGCACAAAAATTGTCCCGATTTTGTTTTCCTGTAAACTGTCTCTATGCTTTGTAAAGAGGAAATGTGCATTTGTAAACATGGCACGATGTGTAATAATGTACATTTCATGTGTTTCAGATAAACAAATCAAAACGGATTGTGTTCAAACTATTTTTAGGATCATAATGTTGTACTTCTGGTCATGAATGACTGAATTCCTTGTAAGTAACTGATGTCTTCCAAAACTCTTGATATTAACAGATGTGAAAGATTATGTTTTTGTTAGCTGAAGCTTGTGAGAATAGTTTCAGGTGGCATTCTTTGTGTAGACTTCTGTGTAAACATACACTTGATAATAGTTTTTTCATTGTCAAACCTGTTGACAAAAATGGCATTATTTTATAGTCAGTAGTTATCATGATAATGGTTATAGTTTTGCTAGAAGATACGAGGCCAGTGTCTTTAGTGGATTATCACAAATCATACTCATTATGTTGAAAACAAATGTTTGTTAGACTCTAATGTTGGGTAATGTTGTTATAGATAAGTAAACAGAGCTTGAGATTCATCCAAATAATTATCACTTTTATGGGTAAGAAACCTCATTTCTGTTAACGTTTGTTTTTGTAACTATCATTTGATCCGATTTGTTCTGTAGAGGGAGTTTTCTGTCTTTTGTTGCTACAAATGTGGGTCCTCTAGCTCTGATAAGGTGCTGTGGCAGGGTTTACAACCGGTGAGGTGCAGGGCTAGGGAGATATTGAACTATCCCCTAACCATGCACAGTGTCCACTTTAACTGGAGCATATTTTTCTTTCGAGGCTCACATGTATATATTTTTTTGCATATTTCACGTTGTTTTATATTTTTGAAGAAGTAAATTAGCTCCTTGTGTAATTTTACTTATATCTAAAATTCAATGATAGTTCTATTTTTTCAATAAACAAATAGAAATGTGAACCTAATTTCGGGAAAAAATGATATATATTTGAAAAAATGTGATCCAGTCCTAAAACCGTTATTGACCTGCCCTATGAGAAGAGACCAGAGTGACGTTTCACAAAGTAATTTGGCTATGACTGTTGAAGTCCCATACTTTAACATAAACTTATGACAGTCTTCGCTAGATCACTTCATGGAACGGGTCCCAGTGCCTTAGTTGCTTTTCTCAACCAATCCAGGCCTTGTTCCACAATGTTACGACTATTGTAAGTCATGTCTTTTATGGGAGTTTGGATAAAAATTTAGCGCTTAGAACACTTTGTGGAATGGGGTCCTGGAAGCAACAGAAATGATCTGTGAACCAGTAGGACCTGACCAGTTGTCTCCCCTACAAAGGGAGGTAAGCTGGGCATGTTATGAGTACATATAGTCCTTTGAAGTAGCAAACATTCCATATTGATGTAAAGAGAAGTTGGCATAACAGATGTTGCAGCATATTTCTAACACTTTATTATTTTCTCTGCTTAGATACGCTGGACATATACCAGTGATGTCGTGGTAGTTTAGTATCCTGATTTGACTGTACACATGTCTATGTCTCAAGCGTGTGCATTAGACATTTTTATAAACTTTTGTTTTCTTACCAAGAAAGTGCTTATATAGGACATAACAGAAGCTCTGTCACTTATCATATATCCATTGTCATGCTTTTCACTGACCCATTTTCTGTGCATCATCTTTGTTGAGTTTTGTATATATAGATGTTGATAATAAAATGTGAAGAACGTAATCAGGTGTTTGTTATCACAGGTGGGGCAGCCTAGTAGTTATAGCTTTCACTCATTAAGATCCAGGTTTTATTTCCACACTTGGGTACAATGTGTGAAGCCCATGTGTGGTGTCACCATGATGTAACTGTGTGCCATTTTACAATGTAACCAAAGTGCTACAACTGCTGTTTCGGTTTAAGTATGGGAGTATTTCCACACACATTGTGACCACACTCTGACAGCAGAATTTTTACGGGAATAGTACATGTACACTATGCTTATAATGAACTGACTATTTCTGTATTACTGGTAGTATGTTACTATGGCACTAATACCCCGTTTACATGGACACATTTGCATACATGAGTATATTTACACACGTAAGTATATTTACTCACGTATGCAAATATGTCCATGTAAGCGCAATTACTCACATGCTCAAATTTACACTAGTAGTAAATTTGCACTACCTCTAGACGTAGTGCAAAAGTATTTTTGCATTTGCACCCTAAATAAACGTGTCCATGTAAACACAGTCTGTTTTACATACCTATATAGATATGACAGAAACAGATAAAATTGTTCCAAATGAGTTCTCAATTGTCATCCAGGCACGACTCAATCTCAAAGTTGGAATCTTTCTGTGAAGGTGATAAGGTTGTGTGATTGGCCTATGGTTTTAAATAACATGTTTTCAGCAGGTAAGCAGCATCTACAATAAGGACAATGGGCATGGTGACTGCTTTTAATGGAATACCATCCCGTCGCCATGGGCTGCAATCGGTATCATGCCACTACAGTATCACATAGACAAATGAGCCCTCTACCTATCAGGAAAGTTATGTAATGCAAAGTATAACTGTGTTTTTAAAGTAATATTTCCAGTTCAGCTTGATCAATTTATGTGTACAGATAGTTTTACATGCAGCGTATGTAGTAGAAAATTCCTGATATATAATATGCTGCAACGTTTACATAAGTATTACCTAAACGATATACTTGCCAACTAGTTTAATAATGGTAAATTTATTAACAAGAAATGCTGGTCCAATGCTGTAAATGAATAAATGCTATTAAATCTCATCGAGACCATCTATTTTATGTTCATCTCAATTCAAGACTTGGTCTGTCAAGATATTTCAGTATAAGATCCAGGTTCAAACACTATCTCTGGATGCCAGCCGCAGAGAATAATGACCATTTAACTGATATTGCAAGACTTGTTTTCTATTGAGCAATAGAATGTTATTGGAAAACTGTCACCAATGATATTGTAAAGCATGTGTTTGTCATGGACGATCAATATGAATGACCGAAATGAACTCTTTAACACCTTATGTGATATTCTGGATGTAGATACTTTTGTTAAGATATGGGATCAAGACTGTGATGTTATTCTTACTCGGTAGATGTCCAATAGAATGTATTATGGAACTAGAGAGATATATGGGCAAAAGTAATAATTAATGCAAGCCATTTCACAAGAAAATGGCGATACCTGCTTAAAAACATGTATGTATATGAACATTCTTGACTATATCACTAATGCATGTTAATCATTTCACGTAAAATATACTATCACTGCATATTGTAATCTTCATTCAATTGGAGGAAATAAAGAATATCTATCATACTTGGGCAGGAAATGCTCTACCAAGGTGGTACACACATCTTTGACACAAATGTATACAGTGGCTTTGGATACTCCAAACAAATTACCGACTGTTCTGTAGTCTGTCGAAGTTGCTAGCCAGTATACAACTATGGCAACTTCGTGGTCAACATCAAGACGCTCCCTCACTGGAATTGAGTCTTTATGCAGAAAGGGGTGAAGTTCTTCACAGAGAAGGTCAAATGTAGCTTTAGACATTTGAAATTTTCAACCCATTCATTATCTGAAAATGTCATTTGACAGTGTTTTGCCACCAATGACTTGATCTATCTTTTTTCCAAACATTTCTGTTTTGTTAAAGCCAAAATAAGTGCAGAGTTCAGAAGCATAGGAAGTCTTGATACTTTCGCTTTAACATATATCTCTCCATAATGTATGATGCTTGCCTCAGATGTGAAAAACTCAAAATGAGACAAAAACACATGACCATATCATAAAATACATATAGGTTCTAATTCTTCATGTAAACGCAAAGTAAATATACTTTTACTTGTGTATGTAAATAGACACCATATGCAAATATACACACGTGAGTAAAAAGTGTCCATGTAAACGGGGGTATAAGACAATCCACTCGTGAAAGTCTGGGTTAGAATGAACCATCAGTAACCCATGCTTGTCGTAAGAGGCGACTAACGGGATCGGGTGGTCAGGCTCAATGGCTTGGTTGACACACGTCATTGGTTCCTAATTGCGCAGATCGATGCTCATGCTGTTGATCACTGGACTGTCTGGTCGCCATATAGCTGGAATATTGCTGTGTGCGGCGTAAAACTAAACTAACTCACTCACTAAGACAATCCAAACTCCCATACTCACACACTGATTTACACCAGCTACACAGCAAAACCGCCGTGTATCAGGGAATTTGGGAGATCAGCTTGTGTAATGTGACATCCATAAATTCCTACCTTACGTGTATCTTCTAAACAAAATTCAAAAACTTTAAAACCATTTTAAGTCCATACTTATCAATGACGAATGTAGTACATGTACTTATATGATTCCCATGTACTAATATGAAATTCCCATTCTTGAATACTGACCCACGACACATACCTAACATGATTGAAACTCCCATACTTTATCACTCACAAAAGACGTAACACAGAAAGTGTTTTGTTGAACAAGGTTTCCACCATCTAATACTTGCAATGGCGTTACAGAGAAAACAGTCCCTTCATGAGGACATTTCAATGTTAAGTCTGGGTTACATCATGGGAACCTGTACGCTGAGTGGCATGACGGCTATCTTCTTGCTTTAATGTGATCACATAAAGACCAGAGACATTTCACCAAAATTCTTTTATTGAACAATTGCATATCAGTACAATCACCCAATCACATGTTCCTTTTCTCTGCAAGGCTCCATATCTGTACTCGTAACAATGTGGCACGTTTTCAGTCTGTACATATGTCCACAGTCTTATAAATTCTTCTTCAGTATTTCCATCCTCAGAATATATCCGCTATCCCCTCCTCCAGGAACCGTTTATAAATGGCCATGAACTTAGCAACAAAGGCCTCCAAGTGGTAGATGGCCTTTTGTCCAAGCTGAAGTCGATGTTCGTAGTACGCTGCGTGTTGAACCACCTCCGTCTTCAGCTGACCATCACAGTTGGACAACAGTTCTTGTAGCAGACCCCACGTCACAATCCTAAAATTATTTCCCTGTTTCAATTCAACTTTTCAAAACAACAAAACACTGTCATCTTGTCAGAAAAAAATACTAATATTTCATAGTTTACCTGTGATGTTAGCTACTGTATCAATAGTTATATAATTAAAAAAAAAACATTTACAGTTTGACTTCCAAGTGTTTTGACTGGTCTGTAGAAAATTCAGTGCATCTACTTAAAGGTCACATGCAACGTAAAACACAACTTTGCAGGTTCTAATACCTTTTAGTATGGACTTACATGGACTTAATGCAAATTTAACTTATAAAGTTGAAAAATAATGCGATGAAACACACACACACACACACCCCCACGAAATCAGAGTTCAAACAATTCACTAAATTTGGCAAATGAACCAGCCAATGAATTTGAATGAAAGTCCTCGTTACACTTGAGGGCACACCCACCCGCCCGACTGGGTTCGGTATCCTGGGTGCTTCGTTTCGAGGGAAGTAAGCCCAAGTACAAAATGTTGCAATTCGAACTTCGGAGTACGAGATATTGCGGTACACTTTTCGCGAACCGGTTCACCCGATACGATCGGCAATTTCCGTGACCATGATCGGTAATTTTCGTGATGTAGTTAAAAATACTAATAAGATTTGTATTTCCTTTATATCATTACACATTAATAGTTTTGAGAATGTATATTGGTCAATCACATTTGTGTGCTGAAAGTGGCCAGTGGTATTGTTTCAAATGAAAGGACGATAGTAATTTCATCACCTTAGTTAACCCATTCAACACCACAGGCCGGAAAACCGCCAAGACGTCACAGGTCCCCAGACACCGAAAGGCGGTAAACCGGCCTGGCAGTAGGCGCATCAAAATGGTATATAATTTTAGGAACCTACCTAACATATGATTCACTTATTAAATCTATCACTTTTCACAATGTCTGAAAATACTTATTACATTTCAAATGAACATATATTATCGACAGAAATAGAAATATAAACTATTTTTCGCAATGTTTTTAAAAACAAAAAAATTATTCGGCAACGGGTCCACATCAAAGTTGTCAAAGAGCAAAGTAACGATGTTTCGAGGAAATAATTCAACAAATTGAATAATCTAAAGAATAAAATCAAGAACAGTACTCATAAAAGTTGTCAAACGTACATAATAAGTTACTATTTTCCATCTTTTTGAGTGCGATCATGAAATGTAAGCCAAATAACATTTCGGCTTTCGTCGCCTCGAACTTCACGCTTGCACACAATGTTTAATGCTAAAATATATGCTTGAAGCATTTTTGTCACAGGTCATAACCAAGCAGGATACGACAACTAAGTTCCATAAGGTGGTGATTTTGTGCGTAACCCGTTCAGAATAGGATGATTTTACCCAAAACTTTCGTCTAAATCTAAAGTTTTCGTTTACGAGGACGGTATCCATTGCTGTAATAATATTGGTTGCCTTAGCTCACGTGCATGATTTTGACCAATCACGAGCTTATAGCAGACATTCGTAACTACTCGTGTCATTCCGGCAAGCCGGATGGCGACTCGTACCTATCTCGTGGCCATGTTCACGACTAGTCTAGGAATAAGAAAAGCAAGATTTATAGATGTCAACTTCTTTATTGTGGACAACACGACGTTTCGGAGTGTATGCTTGCTCCTTCATCATTCATTCATTCCAAGTGGGGAGGGTATCAGTCTACCCTTCATCAGGAGCAAGCATACACTCCGAAACGTCGTGTTATCTCGCTTTTCTTATGCATTCCACTTCTAAATGCCCTTCAAAGATTTAGTCTAGGAATATTTCCAAAGATAGATAACTCTGAATTTCCAAACATGGCCACTCCTTGAAAGGTATGTAAAGTAAAATACGTTTCTTATGTCGTTAACAAATATCAGCAAAAAGATAATTGTATAATCCCGGAATTAATAATGAAAATCGATAATCGCAAAGAAACTATTTATCTCCATTCGTAACTTAGGCCTCATCTATGGCCTCAGGGTCTCTGGGATCTCGGTGTCATGGCAGTAAAAGCCTCTGGTTGACTGGTGTTGAAAGAGCTAAACCATGTGTCACACTTTCACAATATATTGCAATAAGTATTGCAATACGCCAACACATATCGCAATATATCGCGATACGTAAATTTTGGCAATACCCAACCCTAATGCCTAGTGACTGAAACGACATGCAGCTGAAAATCAGGTTATATAAAACTTGAGGTAAAACTTTATACATTGGCTGAGTGAGTGGGAGAGTCCAGCTATATGGCGGCGATCTGTAAATAATCGAGTCTGGATCAGAAAATCCAGTGATAAACAGCATGAGCATCGATCTTCGAAATTGTTGTATATTGGGTATATGTGAAGTGGTGATATTTACAGGAAGCAGTTACTTATTTAAATAAACTTAGGGGCGGTGGGGTAGCCTAATGGTTAAAGCGTTGGCATGTCACTCCGAAGACCCGGGTTCGAATCCCCACATGGGCACAATGTGTGAATCCCATTTCTGGTGTCCCCGCCGTGATGTTGCTGGAATATTGCTAAAAGCGGCGTAAAACCAAACTCAGTCAGTCAGTAAATAAACTTAAGTCAGTATGCCATTACCGTAAAGGTAAAGTGCTGTTCTGACGTCATATCCTTGATAATAAGAATAAAAATAGAATTTATTTATCATCACATAAAAGCAGGAAATATTTTTTCTAGCATTTCCAGTCGTCTTGATTTGGAAGATTGTTTATTTCAATTTGATTATCGTTTCATGGATTTGGTAATACAATTTAATTTTCTCTGCAGAAATGACGAAGTCTTTATGGATTTTATCATCACATAAAAGCAGGAAATATTTTTTCTAGCATTTCCAGTCGTCTTGATTTGGAAGATTGTTTATTTCAATTTGATTATCGTTTCATGGATTTGGTAATACAATTTAATTTTCTCTGCAGAAATGACGAGTCTTTATGGATATCCATCTTCTTTATTACACAATATCCTTAAAGAACCACTAAACTTTGTTTTTTGTTACTCTTTTAACCATTAAATATGAAATATTTGTGGTTAGTCTTATGCGGAACACCAAATTTATTCCAAGATATTTTTTATGGACTAAACTTCTTTTTTAATTTCTCTCACAACGTTTCGAGACCATTCCAGGTCCCTTCATCAGGTGAACTTGGACTTCAATGTACAACTTCTAAATGCCACTGAAAGACACCAAATTTATTCTTTAAAAACTTGTGGTTAATTAATACCGAGCGATTAAAAGTGCTCAAAAAGTCGCCTGCTTCCCTCTCGCCCGCCATCGAAACCACAGACAGGTTACGTAACTCTGTCGCCAGAGCACTGCAGTGACGTCATATGAGGAACGATTTTCAGTTAGTTGTATAGAAAGTGTGTAGCACGCTCATCATTTTGATGATTTCTCAACATCAACGACGACATGCCGAATCGTTGTCGTCAATTGCTCCTAGGGGTCGGGCGAATGGTGTCACCATGCACAGATTTCCACAGGACCCGCGCAGTTAGTGCTAAATGGGTTATGTTTGTGAGCAGCGGTTTAGCTGTGGAAGCCTGAAACGATATCTTACTTGTGTTCAGATCGCTTCACGGAAGTTAAAGAATCAAAACTACTTACTAGTTATAGTAAAAATATGTATATGATTGATGACCATATAGATTTTCCATAACACAACTTGTAACATAACGATTTCTTCCTGCGGAAGTGAGGTTGTGGTCGAAGTAACAATAATATTGTAAGTAGTATTATATTGACCCTACCTCCGCTGCCAGGAGAGAATTGTTATGTTATACGCTATGTCATGCAAAATCCCATGGCTATCATTAAAATATATTTTATTAATAGAAAGTAGTTTTGATTTTTGTAACTCGGTGAAAACAAAACCTAAATAGCATTTATCCACAGACTGGCGGATGTTCCCGACAGGTTGCCTTCCATTTTTGAAAATCGTAAAGTCTGTTAGAATGAATGAGATTATAGTTTGTTTTCATCAAGTTAGAAAATCAAAACTACTTTCTACTGTGAAGTTAAATATGTATTGGAATCATAACCAAAAGGATTTTGCATGACACAACTTATAACATAACGATTTCTTCCACGGAAGCGAGGGTGGGGGTCGAAGTCACAATACTTTCTTAGCGATAAATTTCTTGCTACATTCACATGGTTAATGTCCACTCACCAGTATGTAGATACTAGTCAATGTAAGCGTCTTTATATTTGGTCTTATAATCCTAATTAGTTTATTATCATACTTTTATGCATTTTGAAACTAAATAAAAGCTGACGATCTGCTGATACTTATAGTGAATTTATAACAGAACTGTAATATCTAGACATTTTATAGTTTGCCAATGTGAATCATAATTCGCACACACCCTAGTGTATGTTGTCTGTCTCATTACACTTCACGGCTAAAACAATGATTCTGTTGAATTCTACGACAAATGAATAAAACACAAAATGCAAATATTAAAATTAAAACAGATTAAAGTTATAGGAACAATATCAGGCCATTACCTTGTTTGAGGAATGTATCCATCAATATCCACAAAACTGTTCCAAATGATGTGTCTTTTTAACAGTTTAATATACGAAAAAGTGATAAATCTTTTCAGGTATTGGTGTATAGTCTCATTGGTCACCCAAGATAGCACACCTGGCAACTAATTGCATAATGTCCGCCTTTCATTAAAAAAAACAGTAATTTAGTTAGCCAATAATGGGCAATCAATCAATGTATTGCCGGTTAATCCTTTGAAAGAAGGACGTTGTTTTACGCAGACACTGACACGGCAGAGTGTATTCAGTATAAATTAGTAAATCTACATACATAAACACTACCTTTTGACAATTCCGGCTGTGTAAGATAAAAGTAATTAATCAATCAGCGCGTTATCGGTTATTTCTTTGATCGATGTTTATAATGTTGAATATTTACTCCAGACACAAGAAATGCCAAATGGGAACCTTTGTCGGGTAATCTAAGTGTCTTACCACTAATTATACCTGTTATAAATTCATTAACTGACCATCAAGTGAATGATGACAAATAACATGTGTAGGTTTATACCACCTAACACGGTTACAACAAGGGAGTATTAATTGCTGTATTGCATGTGAAAACTTATGGGCCGACACTGTTTTGAGAATACAAACAGATTTTTACATGACATGATTAAATATCGAGGTAAAAAACACAGAAATGGATCAATTTGGATCAGCTCATTATACAAATAGGGCCCTAACGACACCAATCAATTGTGACAGAAGCCGCCTATGAAAACAAGTTGTAACTTCCGAAACTAGGCAAAGCAGGAGACAAAATTAAATGCCAGTAGATTGTGAGAACATATAGCTTTCATTTTCCACAACAATTATCACGATTTCAGGTTTATACAAGCCTGTAAACAAGATAATTTACCCCCTAAAATGTAGATGAATTCTGCATCGGCCCCTCAAAGCTATTCCTCGTCATTTCTGACACTACCAACTTCTAGAATGCCTCTCAAACAGTTCATTTTCTCTACAGGCAAGAAATCGGACAATCCAAAGGAACCAGGCTATATCCCAACTATCTTCCCTTCTCGCCAGAAACCGATCAAGCGACGAACCACCCTGAATTCATCCAAAGCTGTGTCACCTCCAGCTAAGCGTGTCTGCCACAAGATCTCCCCTGATTGTCCTGCTTCATCTCCCGGCTCCAAAAACCCTACCTCTGTCTCCACCCAGCACATCCAGTAAAAACAGGCTATCTTCTCCTTCTGTCTCAGAGCAAGAAGAGTCTGCACCTGCTCCTGAAGAGGAGCCTCAGGTCATACCGTCTCGGATGGACCATGACTACGTCTATCCCTATGTAAATGAGACTCCCTTCAAAGAGGTGGAGAGATTAAAACTTCAACTTCAGCACCTTCAGCGTGAGAATGAAAATCTGAAGAAGGCCCTATGTCTATCCAGCTATAAGGGCAATGATGCCAATTTCCATTACATGTCTTATCTACCAAACAACGATACTTTTGAAGTACTGACTGGTTCTGCACAGAAGATGTGACGGGAAGTAACTACTGGAAACATCAGCAGTCATCTAACAACACACATCTTTCCAATAAGAAGCCTGGAATGGAACGCACACTAAACTTCCAAGAGGAACTGTTCCTTGGAACTATTCCTCGTGCGACTTGAGCGTGGTATGGATTTTAGAGACATGCAACTGGAGTAAGTGTACCTACTTTGTTAAGAATCTTCACAAGTTTGATCAACTTCATGAACAAGGAGTTGACTGACTGTTTTGAAATGGTCGCAGTTGATCTCAGTCATGTGCAGACAATGCCATGTATGGACCCATTTCCAGAAGTAAGGATAATGCTCGACTGCACAGAACTCTTCTCACAGTGCTCTATGGACCTTCGGGCTTGGAAAGAACCATTTTCCAACTGCAAACACTATGACACAGTAAAATTTCTAGTTGGAATAGGCCCACATGAAGCTATGAATTTTGTGTCAGCACAAGGAAGAGCTACATACAAGCACATAACAGTCAGCAGTGAGAAGCTCATGTCCAACCCAGCTCCTGGTTCCAGTGTCATGGCCGACCGCAGTTTCTTCGTGACTGAAGAATTCCGCTGACTTGGTGTTAAGATGATTATGCCACATTGGAAGGGCCGAGACAGACCTCAGTTCTTTGCTACTGAAGCTCGGCGCTCAGCACAAATCAGCAGTGCACGTATACACATCGAACGTATCATCCAGTGCATGAAGACTGTCCACATTCTTGAGAAATCTATCCGAATGGAACAAGAGGACATGATTGAACAAAGACCGCCTCCGTGGTGTAGTGGTTAGAGCGTCCGCCCGGAGAGCGGAAGGTCGCGGGTTCGATCCCCGACCATGTCATACGAAAAGACGTTAAAATATGGTACTTGTTGGTCCCTGCCTGGCGCTCGACATTAATGGGTACAACAAGGACTGGTCGGCTCGGAGTCAGTATAATGTGTCTGAGTGGGGTGTTCATGCTTCACTGCGGCATGGTATCTCAGTGGGCTAGCACTATAAAACCAGCTTCAGTCTGGGCTAGTACAAGCAGCCGCACATACACATACACACGCATGCACGTTGTCATATGAGCGGCTTTCTTGTGAGCGAAATATTCTCAAGCACAACGTTAAACCCAATTTCACCTCACCTCACCTCACCTCATGATTGAACAAACATTTAGAGTTTGCTCATACCTTGCTAATCCGCAAAGACCTATTGCAAACCGTTAAGAATGTATTCTGACATTTTATGCTTGTGTTTTGTCAATGTAATGACAAAGAAGGAGTACAGGTTGTTTGATACATTTACAACCAATGTGATCTTTTTTGTGAACACCGCACATCAGGGGTGGAAATAACTTTAAAATTGCTAGTGTACTCCGGTACAGTGGCACATGTAAAATCACTTGCCCTGATAATTTTTCCACTATACCGGCCGATTTTCTTGTTGATTTTTTAAATAAACAACATAATTAACATTGGAAAGTCAACAGGACACCGGACAGTGTGATATACAAATTTCCTTGCCCAACAGAAAAAACCACTGGACTGGGGCGTCGGGCAATGGGTTATTTCCATCCCTGCATTAATGTTAATGTTACAGTTCATTTACCATGACAATGGTACATATATATTGAGAAATGTACAAGCATTATGATGTTTCATTTTAAAATATATATGCTCATACTGATTCATATTAATCATGGAAAAATACAAGCATATTGAAAAATATGCATACACTGATTGTCAAGCATTATGATATTTTTTAGTCTACTATAAGTAAATGTCCTGATAAAAAGGTAACCTGACTATCTCAATACTTGTACATATTTCATTGAACCTTTATTTTGTCATGGTAAATGATTTCATTTAAATGAAATGTTCACTTATTTATTTACAGATGGAACAACATTAATCTCACTGTAATATTTCATTGAACCTATATTTTGTCATGGTAAATGGTTTCATGTAAATGAAATGTTCACTTATTTATTTACAAACTGAACAATATCAAACTATCTGTACAAATGTCATTGAGCATAAATGGTACATGAATCAGTATGGTCTTATTTATTTAAGTTATACAATGTTAGAAGCAATCCTGATTGTGATCTTTCTTTTCCCACTTCATATGTAAATAATACTGAAGTACTGTCGGGAATGCTAGCATATACCATGACAGTTTCGTGTGGAACCATGAGTGTATCCAATTAAGTGAGTAATAAATCTGATTTATATGCAACTTTTCTTGTTCCTCTTTTATTGTCAAATAGGGTTGTATGTCACTATATGTAAATGTACATTCAAAACATATTAAGGATATACATGTAAAAATTACACATTATTTAATAATACATGTTACATATGAATACAACACATAACACGTGACAAGTCACACTTGATATAATACAAAAGCATGGTAAACAATGAAGATTATTACTATCAGTTACCACTCATCAGAGGGATGTATACTACTCACACTTTGCTAAGGATCACTGAAATTCACAACTAAAATTTATCATAGAATTCTAATATAAAGTTGTATCCATTAAAAACTCGATAAATAATGATATGGTAACACTTCTTAAGGCAAACAGCCACTACAATCTAACCATAAAACCATGAAAATGGTTTTCATGGCTCCAATCAACCATTTTGTAAATCATGGAGGAGTCCTTGGCCATTACACGAAACCTGTCAGTAGCAGGTATGGGTTCAACAAGATGCAATAAGCTCAGAGAGTTAAATCAAATGTGACTTCATGGCATAGTTTTGTGTTAGATCAGTGATTTGCTCCTGAGCGAATTGTGAGTGGTACATATAAAGGACACATTATGTTACACATAAATATACTGAAAGCCATTAAAAACGCAATTGTTATTGACATTTCTCGTAAACACAACCACATTCATGAAACACATTGTGCACGTGCATTACCTGCACCCAGGTCCTTTAAAAGTACAAGGAATTGTACGAAAGGAATCAGGCCATTGCATGGTCAGCCAAGGTGCTTCAGATGTGATGATTGCCAGGCATTTAATGTGCATCCTTCCACTGTTGGTCGACTGAGACAACGTTTACGGGTCACCGGAAGCAGCATTGCTGTTGTCCACAGCGATATCATCTGCCTCATGCAGCACTTTCTGGCAGATGGCACAGGTGGTCTTGGGCGGGTTACAGTTTCTCAATTCGGCCAGTCAATAATTTAGGAACAACATACGCTTCAAAGAATACTTTTAGGTTCTTAAGACTTCTCTCCCAAAGTATTGGATCGAAATGCAAAGAATCTCCAGGGATTTGTTCGTGTACACGACGAAGTCACACTTGTTGACTCCCTCCACAGTCATGGCACCCTACATCTGATAATAGTGGTCAGTCTCCTGCTTCAACTTCAGAGAAAAGTCGGGAACCAGCTTCAGGTAGGTCAGCTTGCTGGTCCGTACTGCTTCCCTGACACTGATGTCTCTTAAAGGAAAAAGGACACTTGATCTCAAGGATGGTTGTTGGATGGCATCCGTAGGATACAATGCCATCAGGGCTGGCTCGGAGGTAGGGGTAGTCAGGATGTACGCGAAGTCCCGTCTTCTTCACCTCCGGGGACTGGACTAGGCCTTCTCGGGCCACCGACTCGTAGCGCAGTGCATACTTCATGCTCGGTGCTGAGATGGGCCGCTGATGGGGCTGGCACCAAGTCGGTAGCCCATGACAACACGGACAAGGACATCTGCATCCGCCTTCCTTGTTGTGACGTAGCGGATGATCCGGCCGAAGTTGCTGGAGGTCAAACTGCCACGCCACGCAGTGATCGTTGGATTCGAACCGCCCATCTGCGCCAAAGATTCCATCCAGCCACACTGACAGTACAATCAGTTCCTGGTACCAGCAGGATATCACAAAGGATACCGGCGTCTGGCTGCACACTGCACCTAGACGTTCTGCCAGACATTACGTCACCAACTTACGACTGCAGTAGTGCAGACAACATCTGCGACGGAGAGCACGTGAGTGGAGACGTGTTCACTTTACTGACGAGCAGTGTGCGAAATAGCAGCAGGCCCGCTAGCCAGTGGCTAGTAAATCTCCAGTCATTGGCCCGACTAGCTAGTAAAATTTCATTGGGTCATTTTATCACTCTCTCCGACTTGTTAAGTTGTAATACACATCTAAATCATGCACGATAATGGCCTGATAAAAAAATGCTAATCATATTAGCAGCTTAATGATGAAACCCGTGTCATGCCGACAATATGTTATTCTCATCTATTTTGTAATTTGCTTAGTTGCTTAGTTAGATTCTACATTCAAATTTGGGGCTTGTGGATTATTTTGTGGGCTGGTAATTTTCAGGCATAGCTACCCCGACTGGCTAGCAGAATTTGGAAATTATTTCGCACGCTGCTGACGAGTCCAGTTCATCTTGCTCTGATGGCCGAACCCGAGTTTACCGGCGACGTGGTGAGCGTTATGTAAGAACTGTGTCCTTGAGGCCGACCGTGGCGCTGGAGTGATGGTTTAGGGTGGGATCATGAGTGCTAGACGTTCACCATTGCTTGTCATCAATGGAAATTAATGGGTCTCTGTTTTTCATGCCTTTTCTCCTGCAGAATGGTCAAGGTATGATCTTCCAGCAGGACCTCGCCGGACCTCGTGTCGCCAGGGTGGTTCAGCAGTTTTTGGCGCAACACAATGTTAACGTCCTTCCCTGGCCCGCTAAATCCCCAGATGTGTTTCCTATCAAACAAGTCTGAGACGAAATGGCGAGGAGATTGAGACGTTGGCCAAATCCCCCATCAGGAACTCCGCCAGGTGCTTCCACAGATATGGAATGCCATTCCAGAAGACTTCTTGCGATGTTTGATTGGCTCTATAAGGCGCAGGTGTCAAACATGCATCAAAGCTCATGGTGGACATGCACGTAGCCTAGTGGTTAAAGCGTTGGCTCGTCACGCCAAAGACCTGGGTTCGATTCCCCACACGAGTACAATATGTGAAACACATTTCTGGTGTCCCCCCGCCGTGATATTGCTGGAATATTGCTAAAAGCGACTGAAAAACCATGCTAACCCATTCACATTAGTGTAAATTATCATCACCATATATAGAACTGTATGCTTGAATTGTACACAGAGGGGAGCAGTGGGGTAGCCTAGTGGTTAAAGCGTTGGCTCTTCACGCCGAAGACCCGGGTTCGAATTTCCACATGGGTACAATGTGTGAAGTCCATTTCTGGTGTCCCCCCGCCGTGATGTTGCTGGAATATTGGTAAAAGCAGCGTAAACCCAAACTCAGTCAGTCAGTGTACACAGAGGTGAAGACTCACGGTGCTCCTGACTCTCTGGTCCCCGGTCCCGGTCACACTGTTCGTCGACGTCTATCGTTGTCTGCAATTTATGGCTCTACTTGCAACCCTTGAAGATCCGGGTTAGAATTGTTCTTCAGCACATTATGCTTGTCAGAAGAGGCGACTAACGGGATCGGATGGTCATGCTCGCTGACCTGGTTGACACATGTCATCAGGCGACTAACGGGATCGGATGGTCAGGCTCGCTGACTTGGTTGACACATGTCATCGGTTCCCAGTTGCGTAGATCGATGCTAATTTTGTTGATCACTGGATTGTCTGGTCCAGACTCGATTATTTACAGACCGCCGCCATTTAGAATGAATTTTGCTGAGTGCGGCGTAAAACGTAACTCACTCACTCTATTTACATTAAGACCCATGTCATATGTCCAATCTCGAACAATCCATGAGTAACAAAATGGTTCAGGCATCGGGGCGAATCACCACAACAATGAATTTCGTGTTGATTGAGAATGAATTTTTAATTGATAATTGTAGCAATAAAATATTACTTTCATATACACCTCCAGCTGAACAGTAAATAGACGTAACATAATTTGTAAGTTTGCTTTCCAATTAATAACAATGTATTTGAACAATTCTTGTTTATATTTACAAGATGATGCTCTGAAAATATTTAAAATATAAGCGTATTGACAATTTAAAAAATATATAGTCTTTTTCTACAGTTGAGTATCCATGACAACGCCAAATTTACTCCAGCCAGTAGTAACAGTCACTCAGAAAGTTGGTCACATGAGACACAAGTCCTGGAATCTTCCTGACAAATGACCTATGACTTCTTGGTTTCTGTTCTCGCTGTATCTTTGGTTTCAAAGCAGCCATTTTCTCAGTTTCTGTTACTGAAAACATAAGAGATGAAGTCTGTTAAGCTGCTGGAACAATATACTTTCTAAACGGACAAAATGGACAGAGAACAGTCCAGGGTGAACTGGTTGACCGCCAGACACTCCTGCAAAGATTCGTAAATAATGCTTTTACTTTGTGTATCCCACGTTTTGAGTGAGCGAGTGAGTGAGTTTGGGTAAACATCGAAACATATTTCATATACATGTATATTACGAAATGTTATAACGACATGGGAGGGAACATGATGCAGAATTTACACGTGTAGCAGTATCATAACGATGAGTAACAATATATGGATTAACAACCTCATTATTACAGTAACAGCGACGTTTCGGTGCAGGTGTTATCAAGCAAGTTGTTCATCCATATATTGTTATCCATCCTTAATGCCCCAAATGCTAAATGCCTCTCAAAGAAGTTACCAGTTTCATACTTTTGAATAATGTTATTCTGGTTCTGCCATTTCACAGAGGTCAGGAGTCTAACCTGATTACTCATTCAACACTGTAAGACACATACTACTGATTGAAAACCAAACGAGACGCCAATAACCATCCAGCACAGATGTGGTGCTGAAGATCATTAGCATTTGAACCCGCGATCAGCGGATCCCACAAACCCAAGGGTAAATTACAGCAAATTGCAAACTGTTCTTTGCATGAACTTTCAGATAAAAAAATGAAAAGACTGTTCTCACTGACAAATGGTTTCTGGTTTGTCTCCTGTCGTGACCGCCACCCAGATGTCACATGACTCATCTCCGGGCTCACGAGATCATCACAGTTCTCCACGGCATCGTAGAACTTGGCCACCTTGGCCATGTCGATTGTCTGCTCCTGAATGATGGTGGAGTGGGACAAGGTGGACGATGGCATGTTCCAGGGTGCCCGGATGGAGAGCTGCTCGCAGTTGGTGAGATGAATCTATTGGCACACTCCTCCCATCTCTTCACCTTTCTCGTCTTCACATCGACGACAGCCCACTTCCACTGGTAGTCACGGTGGACGTCCAGTAGAGTATTTGCCTGAAATACAATATGTAACGAAGTACTGTAGTGACATCACTAATGGGCTCTAACTAAAACTGTGATATATCTGATCTATGAATACGATTTGTGGTTATTTATATCCAAGTGGTTTAGATTTTTGAATATATTTTTAAACTAGCTATTAGGAGCTGATATATTTTAGCCACCATGAGCACCGTTATGCTGCGCTTGTGTACCTACCCGCCACTGGCCTGATTTCTCCGGGTACTCTTGATCCATCAATGCTTTCTTAGACTTCCAGGATCCAAGACATGGCTCCGAGCCTACAACAGCGAGAGCTTCCCCTGCCCCACAGTAGTAGTGGGTCTCCAGCTTCAGGGCGCAGGTCTGGGAGACAAAGTAGTTCGGGTCCCGTCCCCAGGATGCATACATCACCCCTTCGTGGTAGGACAGTCGCGTCCTGAAATAACAGATAGGTGCATTTCAATACACGTAGGCCATTACTAACTGTTATCTGTTTGTCCCCTTCTTCTATTAAATATACTTTTATGAAAGTGTAATTCCAGGAAAGGGATTTGCATCGTGTTATTTTCTTTAAAAACAGTGGTTTCTTAAATTTTGATAATGAAGCATACCATTAAAGCATTTTAGAGAAATGGGGAAAAATTCCATTACCTTCTGACCTGTGCGGGATCCCAGAAGACGACCTTCTTGTCATCAGCTACCAACCACGACCACTCAAAGGACGATGACACCGGAAGTTCAGCACTGACCTCCCACACGCCACTTTCAGAAGATTGCTCTGGCAATCAGCTGTTTCTCAAGTTTCCACCTGCCGAGCTCACGGATGGAACCGAGGAGGGCAACATTGACGGCATTTTTTCTGCCCCCTTCGTCTTTAAGACACTTTTCAACATAGTCTGGTAGATGGTACAGCTTGAAAACGACGTTCACCAAGACCGGAGCCATATCTAATTCATACGTTTCCAAACTTCAAAGTTCAAAACGAGAGAGACGTATTTTTGTGACTTGACGCAAGCGTTGTGTCTCCAGGAATGAGTGTCACCAAGATATGACTGTGACGTCATAGGCAGGGTCACGTGACGTTATTGACACTGTTTTGGCCCTCATGACGTCACAGATAGGATCACGTGACGTCTCGGTCATGGCTTAATTATTATGACGCTATTATTATGACATTGCTTTCTCTTGTCTGTTAGATATGTAACGAGCTAAAGCGAGTTAGATCCGTTTGGAAACAGCCGGTCACGAGTTGTAAGATAAATGATGGTATATGACAGACACGAATACAGTAATCTGCTTCTTATACACCATAAAATCGCACCATTTTATGATCGGAAAGATTCAGTTCATATTTTCATATCGTAGTGACGCAAAAATACACAACGCAACGTTTATGAATGAGTGACGTCACTTGGGTTTCCTAATCATTACGATCCTCCACAAAAACGTTTCTGCCACATATGTACATTATCAAGGCCATAATGTCAGTACAAATTAGATTAGATCAAAGAAAATGTCTTAAACAGTCTAAAACGACGATTTTGTTCCCCCATAGACCGGAGTCAGCACTAATGAGTGTCTGTTATTAAGTGTAGCCCGTGTGCTTGAATGTGACATTGCCGTGGTTACATGCACTATCGAGGGGAGACTACTCTTCTCGACCTTAGCCTTCTTGAGTTGCAGGAGCCCCAAACTTCCAAGTGGAATGTTACTGGTGTTGCGAGGATGAAATGTGAGTTGATCACACCGTGCATGTTACGAAGAAATGAAATTTCATATTATGCGGTGGATTATTTTAAGCAGTGACTGGCGTGTAGGCACTGTGTACCGTGCCTGTATATGCGGGGATTAATTCGAAAGGACTCATAAACCCTTGCAAACTTTTCATGTTGTACATTGTTTCACCGAGTGTGTTTTCGTGCGTGATCCGAGTGAATTTGTTAACATAGGAATAAGTAGTTAGTAGTTAATTCAAAATAGAAAGTAGGTTATTAACATTTGTCCGTACACCTTAATCTAATTTATATATTTAATCATAATGCTATGATTTAAGGATGCTATTGTTACCTTCGGCGCAGAGCAACGTTTACACATGCTCTCCTCTGCTCGATAAAAACAAATGTGGTATGATAGACTACTTTCTATCTCGGGCGGCGAGATATCCTAGTGATCATGCCGAAGGCCCGGGTTCGATTCCCCACATGGGTACAATGTGTGAATCACATTGCTGGTGTCCCCCCGCCGTGATATTGCTGGAACATTGCTATGGTCGGATAAAACCATTCTCACTCATACCCCTATATCACACATAGTCAAAACTTACAGGATTAACATCCCCGTGAAGTATATACAATGTCTATGTTGACACGTCAACATGATCTGCTGGTTAACGAAATTCGACGGTGATTCAAAATGAAACAGAATAGAAATGGTTATTCGAGGGGATGTATGGTAAGGTAAAGCTGTGTTTTGACCCTATAAGTGACTGTTTGTAATGACTGAATGAAATTGACGTGTATGCTTTCTTTTGTCCAGCAGTGTATGTTTCCAGGGGACACACCGGGGCGTAGTTTAAGGGATTTTATGGTACATTGGATCAGTGGGAATGTGCTGTACATTCAATCAATATTGGAAAAGCAGCACTGTTAAACTTTGGGACAACACAGCCACCAAAGTGAGAAGGAAGACTAGCCGATTTGATTTAATTATTTTTATTCGTTTCAGGGGAGAAGCCAAGCACTATATATTTTTAATGTACATTCTCAGCAATATTTCACATTTCACTCTTACTCAAAATATTGGCCACAAAAATATCAATATTTTCTGCATCTAAGTTTTAGGATCCTGATTGTAGCGTCTGATGGGAACAACCGATCAATTTAACTTTCACATCAGCTGCTTCTGTATTCTGGGCGGTGAGGTAGCCAAGTGGTTAAAGCGTTCGCTCGTCACGTCGAAGACCCGGGTTCGATTCCCTACATGGGTACAATGTGTGAAGCCCATTTCTGGTGTTCCCCACCGTGTGATTCTGGAATATTACTAAAAGTAAAAGTAAACTCACTCACTCACTTTTGGGAGAGTATACTAATGTACAGAACGTTGTCTTGTACACTAAATTATCGACAAAACCAAAATGTAAAAAAAAATGGAACATAGGTTTAGTTGTGTAAGGGGAAAAAAATCAACAATGTAGTCCGCTGATATGATGCAAAAGTTCTCCAAGACAGAATTTTTTAATGTTATGAATTGAAGGGCAAAAACGTATACACTCCAAAATTTATTTTGAATAAAATTGTACAGATGTCATCAAAACGATCATCATCATCATCATCATCATCAAATAACTAAATCTTGTTGGTTTCATTTTTAGCCACAATCTAACAGGTGTGTAGTCATGTTTGACCTGTCGTATATACAGAATTACAGAAACTTTATCAAAGGGTTAATTATTTTCATGTTGCAAAAAACCCTTTAAACTATTACATCTTTCTCTTTTCGGCCATAGTTGAGTGAGGATAACACTGAGTTGTTTTCTTCACATCAATCAAAGAGTTTTTTTATCCCAGATTCTTTTTCTTGATCCCTAAATGGACCGTAATAGTACAAGTTGTTGTCTTCATAATGCTGCAAGTTCTTTGTTATAAGATTTCGATCGACAGATAACTAATAATTTGGACAGCAATGTCAAGAAATATTTTATTACATTAATATTACATTTTAATATAGCGTAAATGGATTAGTAATATCTTATGAAGTGATTAAATAGTAAAAAGTCAACACCGTCTACAGTCTGTTTGACTAGAAAGTGTCCCCATGAATTGCTAAATATGTCAGTTTAGAAAGGTAGTTATTATGCACCTGTCTACTCCCGTTGCGGCCGTGCGCCTCTCTGCGCCAACTGTCAACAATCATGTTAATAATTATGATAGTTTGTGCAACAACCTTTTCAGTGATGCATGCCAATTTTATAGTAGATGAAAAGGTGTTAGGTTATTCACGAACATCTTGTCTCGTAATATTTATCAACTACCTTTCTAAACTGATATATTTAGAAATTCATGGGCGACACTTTCTAGTCAGACAGACTGTATGCCTGGATTTCAGTTGATGACTTAGCATTGCACCTCTTTTTCCGAAATCATTTCAGTCCGACTTGAAAGAAACCTTTCAGGCCGATTTTCATATTATTTTGTATAATTAGAAAGATAACTACCACTGCAGCATCGACTGTTAGGAGTATATCAATTATATATATTTATACACATTAAATGACCGTATATTGTGCTACCCGTAGGCTTCCATGCCTATACGTGGATACGTATACAAAAGAAAAGTACGCAGTTGGAAATAGTTTTTCACATTTTAGGATATTTTCTCAATGAAAATTATCCATTTCATGACATGAGCTTATGTAAAGGTGCAGACATGTGTGAACTGAAATAGATGAAACATATATGGCGAATCTTCACTCCCCTGGCCTGTGGTAGTGTTACTATGTTGGAGAGTGAAGTCTGGGGCCGGATTCACTAAACTTCTTAGAATTTTCTTAGTTTTTATGCTTAAGTTTCCTTAAGAATTCTTAGCTGAGAATTTTTCTTAAGTAGCAATCCACCAAGCCACTAAGCATAAATCATAGCTGAGATATTTTAAAATTCTTAGAATTTTCTTAGTGAGAAACGCATGGGATTATAGCTGATAAAGGATGACTTCTTTGAGTGAGAGGTGAAATTTCATTGGAAATGAGACTTACTACAAATTGTATACCATCTTTTTGATAATCTAAATGTTCGTGACAACTCTGTTTCTGTGTATTTTTCTAAAATGTTGGTTCTATCGATGAATGCATTGGCGGCCATCTTTGTTTACTTTAAGAAAA